TAATATTTTTCTTATCTAGATAAAATTATCAAGTTTTAAGATTTGGTCACAAAGAGAGAAATAATCCATTACCTAGATCTTAACATTTTCTTTATATTTGAAAATTGAAATGATCCTTATAATACAAATTCTAAAAACAAACTTAGTAAAGAAAAATTATTGTGCTGTATTCGACATTTTTCAAAAACTTTGGGAGGCGACTGCCGTGTGCTCCTGTACTAGCACCGACGTCGTTCCTGTATATGGGCAAGGAACTTTAAGCTGACCAGTCCTTGAAATTTAGAGAAAACTATTATTCATGCTATTCAATGAATGTGCCACGGGAAAACGTAAAGTTGTTAAATTTTCAAGTCGTAATCTTTTATCATAAATTTTATTTAAAATGTGTTAGCTCAACTTCACGTTGAAAATATAGCATTTATATTAGGCCTCAAACTTTGCCTTTTACGATAAGTTAAATGTTAATTTTGGTTTTCAACTTTAGAGCTTTACATATTTTTTGTTTTTTAATTATTTAAAACATATTTTTAATTTATAAACTTTAAGAAATATATTTTTTAAATTTTTTATCAATTATTTTATTACATTTATTCATATATATATATATTAGTTCCTAATAGGTTAAAACCCCTTTTTGGTCCCTAAACTATTGTACGGACCTCTGATTTGGTCCCTGAACTAAAAAAATCCTTGATTTAGTCCCTATTGTTTACCATTTTTACCTCAATTTGATCCTTCCGTCAAATATCAATCTACGTGTCCCGTTACTTGACGGGGAAAACGATGACCTGTTAAAACATTTTGACACCTAGGATGTACAGTGTGAAGAAAAAATGAGATGGCAAGAAAAAATTCTTTAAAAATTTCTTATTCCTTTTTTTGTTTCTTCGTTTGTTTTTCCTCTTTTCCTTTCTTCTTCCTCTCCCTTTCCTTTAACCTTCTGCAAACCCTAATTCCTAATATTAAATTCGAGGATAACACAACAAATCAACAGATTAAACTCAATAGATATTTGACCCAACGGCTGCTGGGTTCGAAACAAAACCCAGAGCCTCACTTGCAGGAACTCAACAGCTGCTCAAACCCACCACCTGCTAGATTCGATTTCGAACCCAGCACCTGCAAACGAACCCAACACCTGCAAAAACCTAGCATTCGAAATTGAAAAATCGAACCCAGCATCGAACCCAACACCTGCAGTAATGCCTTCTTCATCTTCATCAATTAATTTTTTCATCACAATCAAACAACAAAATCCAAAAAACAAAAACAAAAATTTTTTTTAAAAAAAAATTTTTGCACCTAGGTTCACAAGGAACCCAAGCGTGCTGGGTTTGTAGGAACCCAAACGCGAACCCAGCAGGCTTGGGTTCCTGCGAACCCAACGCCTGGGTTCGCAAGGAACCGAACCCAAGTGTTCTAGGTTCCACCAAACCCAGGCATGTTGGGTTCGGTGCGAACCTAGATGCGAACCCAGCAAACCCAGCACCAGATGCGAACCCAGCAAACCCAGCACCAGATGCGAACCAAGCACCAAACGCGAACCCAACACCAGATGCGAACCCAGCACGCTTGGGTTCCTTGCGAACCCAGTGCCTGGGTTCGCAAGGAACCGAACCCAAGCGTGCTGGGTTCCACCAAACCCAGGCATGCTGGGTTCGATGCAAACCCAGACGCGAACCGAGCACCAGACGTGAACCCAGCACGCTTGGGTTTCTTGCGAACCCAGGTGCTGGGTTCGCAAGGAATCGAACCCAAGCATGCTGGGTTCCATCAAACCCAGGCAAGCGTGCTGGGTTCGGTTCCAAGCATGCTGGGTTCGATTCCTTGCGAACCCAGTGCCTGGGTTCACAAGGAACCCACAGCCTGGGTGGGTTCAAAGGAACCCAGGCCTGCTAGGTTCCGAGGGGAAAGAGAAGAGAAAGGGGAAGGAGAAAGAGAAAGGGAAAGGGGAAGGAGAAAGAAAAAAGGAAAAAAGAAAAAAGAAAAAAGAAAAAAAATTTTAAGTTTTATTTTTCATAATATTTTTTATATTATTATTTTTTCCACATCATCACTTTTTGGTCTTCCACGTGGATTGCTATATGACATGTCATCTAATAACCGTGAAGTAACAGGCCACGTCACATAGTTTTTAACGGAAGGACCAAATCGAGGTAAAAATAGTAAACAATAGGGACCAAATCAGGGATTTTTTTAGTTCAGGGACCAAATTTGAGGTCCGTACAATAATTCAGGGACCAAAAAAGAGTTTTAACCTTCCTAATAAATAAGCGAGTTGAGTTAGTAACAAGTTCTAAATGTTAGATCATAAACAAATTGTAAGTTAGTAAAAGTTAACCCTAATCCAATCCTAAGTAGATTATAGATCAATATGTGAATTTACCTTCTTTTCATTATTTATAATTATTTTTTAAATTTTATTATATATAAATAAAATCATAAATATCTAAATTTAATTAAAACTTAAAAGTTCTAAAGTATTGTAACTTATTACTACTAAACACTTTATAGTCACTGCCATAAATATATAAATTAGGAAAAAATATAAGTTACATATAACAACATTAAATTTAAAATATTAAAGTTTTTTAAAAAATAAAGTTTGAATTTTGCAATTATTAATTATCTTGAAACATAATTTATCAAATTTAAGCTTCTCATTAAAATGAAATTGCTCTTCCAAGGACATTTTTTACTAAATCATTGTTTATATCCTATCATCACATTTTAAGTTGCATTATTGCCTAATTGATGATACTTAATAATTATATCAAACCCATATAATTCCTAGAGAAAGAAAAAGAAATAATGACGAATAAACACTTAAAATAAGTTGAGAACCATGTGAATAATGGAGGAAAGGTTAAAGAATATTAATCAATAAAGAGAGTTACTAATAAAAAAATTAATTAAGAATATTAAATATAATATTTTCTAAAAAATAATATATATATATAAAATGCAAATGGACCCATCAACTTGCCAGTTGATTTGAATATAACATGTGACTTATACGAATTATTTATAAGTTATAGGTTAGAATATGTAGATTCTAACTTGTTTTTACAAACCAAGTTAAGGTCAAATTAATTAGTTAGGTGGTTTTTTGTCACCTTAACCCCAACATTTTACATTAATACCAAACCAAAATGTGATTTTATATATTAATATAACCATCAAATTATATAAAATATTAATTGAAATTAATTTATTTATAATAAATTAACACTTATAAAATGTGATATGAAAAAATAATCTGAAGAAAAGCCCAAACAAAACCTTAATCTAATTGTTTAATTAAATAAATTTCCTATTAAGGGGCCGCAGGGTTGCTGATCAAAATACAAGGGCCCCACTGCCCCAGGCCAGAAGGACACTAGTTTATTCTTATTTTCCTTCATTTTCTTAATAGAATATATTATATATGATGTCAATCCAAAGAAATGA